TTACAAGAAAGATTGAACGAAGAACTTAAAGCAATCGAATGTTGGCTTCGTCAGGACTGTCATGTTTAAGCTAGCATAATTAGCATACATTATGTTGCATGTGGGCTGTGGCGTTGTTACGTAATAAAGAATTGAGCATGGCGCTGTGTGTGTACTGAGTCAAACATTACATGGTACCAGGAGTAAAATGGATTCGTTCAAGCCCCCGGAAGCTTTGTCGCTTCAAGGAAACCCTAGTGAAAACTGGAGAAGATGGATTCAACGGTTCGACCTTTATTTGACGGCATATGGAAACGTTAAAGAGGATGAAAAGTTCAGTTCGCGATCCTTCTTCACGTGATCGGTGAAGAAGCGCTGGAAATTTATAATACCTTCAAATTCGCTACTGGTGAGGATCCAAACAAGATTTCTGTTCTAAAGAAGAAGTTTGAGGGCTATGTCAACACGAGAAAGAACACTGTGTTCGAAAGATACCAATTTTGAGAGTGCAAACAGCAAGAAGGCGAGGCGATTGACCAGTTCATCACCGAGCTGAAAACACGTGCGAAATCCTGCGAATTTGGCGAGCAGCATGACAGCATGATCCGAGACCGAATTGTTTTTGGCGTGAAAGATACCCAACTGAAAGAACGGATGCTATGTGAATCGTCAGAGCTAACACTTGAAAAAGCAGCAAGTATTTGCAGAACGGGCAAAGCAACAGAAGTATGAAGTCAACATCACTTATGTTACTGGCAAGTACATGTATGTAGCCGACACCCTTTCAAGAGCCTTTCTGGATGAACAGCATACAGATACTGATTTGAACGATGACATGGAGGTAATGGTCCTTAGCCTCATTACAAATCTTCCCATGACCCAAGAGAAACTGGCACAAATGAAATCTGCAAACGTCAAGTAAAGTTGTTAAGAGTGGTTGGCCTTTCCATAAAAGCCAATTACCTACATCAGTTGCCCATTACTGGAATCTTCGTGGCGAGATTCATGAAGCAGAAGGTCTGTTGTTCCTTGGCCAGAGGCTCATAATCCCACTAGAGGTGAGACAAGATGTCCTAAATTGTATCCATGAGAGTCACCTTGGTATTGAAAAATGCAAGTCAAGGGCCGAGCTGTAGTCTAATGGCCAGGAATGTCTACTGCAATTGAGAGGATGGTTGCCAGATGCCCAGTATGTCTCAAGTATCAAAGGGGGAATCAGAAAGAGCCTCTCCTGCCTCATGAAGTCACTCAGAGACCATGGCAGAAGCTTGGCGCAGACATTTTTGAATTGAACTCTAACTCCTATTTAGTTGTGGTTGACTACTACTCTAAGTAACCTGAACTTTGTCTTTTGAAAGACGAGTAAGCTAGCTCTGTTATTACTAGCAGGAAATCCATGTATGCCCGACATGGTATTACGGATGGAGTTGTTGCTAACAATATGCCCTTCGAAAGCAAGGCCTTCCGTAATTTTGCAAGTAAGTGGGAATTCGAAGTCTCCACATCTAGTCCCAGATTCCCACAGTCTAATGGAATGAGTGAGCGAGCAATTCAGACCATCAAAAACCTACTTAGAAAGGCTTGTGAAGATGGCAATGACCCCTACATAGTTCTCTTAGAATACAGAAACACACCTATCTCTGGACTGAAAGAGTCGCCTGCTCAGTTGTTAATGAGTCGCATGTTGAAGTCCAAACTGCCTACCGTAGAGTCTCTTTTGAAACCTCAAGTGGTTGATAACCCCCAGCAGAAGCTACGACAACGGAGTGATAAGCAGAAAATGTACTATGATCGGAATGCCAAACTGCTGCCAATTATTAAGGAAGGCGAAACAGCTAGAAGAAGAAAAGGAAAGACTTGGGAGCCTGCCATTGTTACTGCACAGCATACTGCCCCAAGGTCCTTCATGGTTACAACACCTGACGGTACTGCCTACGGACGAAACCGTCGTCACCTGCTCCCAACAGATGAGTCTCCCCCGGTGATTGCGGGACCACCTATTGATCTGCTAGCCACACCCTTAGCAGTGGCCGACCCGCTGGTTGGTGTTACACCACCTGATGGTGGCATGCCTTCCCTGGACTCATCCAACCAATGCAGTCCTCAACAAACACGCCCCAAGTGTACTTCCAGTGGCCGGACTGTCAGACTACCAGCAAGATTCAGGGAGGACTATATTATGAACTGAACTGTTCATATTCAATAACCAGGCATTGAGTTGTTTTGACTTTATTGACTGTATTGGCCTTTACAGTTGCTTACTACGAGGCCATGTTATAGTTAGTTATGGACAGGTTTTCAAGTACATTTGGAAGTCACAAAAGTGTGGAACAGACATTGATTTCTAGTAATATTCATAGATCGTTGTCACGCAAATTGTTCACCTATGTTGTTTGTTTGTTTAGTTTTTATTTTAAATTTTTTTATTCTTATTTTTTTTTGTTGGAAAGGAAGATGTCATGTTTAAGCTAGCATAATTAGCATACATTATGTTGCACGTGGGCTGTGGCGTTGTTACTTAATAAAGAATTGAGCATGGCGCTGTGTGTATTGAGTCAAACATTACAAGAACAGTTTGTTTTTGAATGTTTACAAAACTGAAGCTATGGTATTTGGCACATCACCTCGCTTGTCAATATAGATTCTTTTACCATAAGTGTAAATGGCACTTCTATTAAGCGTGTGTCTCAGTTCAAGTATCTTGGCGTGGTGTTTGATGAACGTCTCAATTGGAACGATCACATTAAATTCATCCTAGCTAAAGCTGGTAAAAGGGTAGGAATGCTTGGCCGAATTCGCTACTGCATTACTTGGCATAGTGCGAAGATTATTTATACTTCCATGATAAGACCAATTATTGAATATTATGACACAGTGTGGGGATGCTGTGGACAAGTAAATGAGAATGCTTTAGAGTCCTTACAGAGACGAGCAGGAAGGATTGTATGCAGAGCTTCAAGTAGCGAGGATGCGATCGAAAAACTGAATTTGACAACTTTAGCCTATAGGCAATCCAAGCACACTTTGAATTTAGTGAACAAATGTAGAAATGGGCAATGTCCTCCGTTTTTTAAGAATTATTTTACTTTCAATAAGCATTTATATAGCCGTGATACTCGCCAAAAAAATTTAATCCATCTACCTTCGGTACGGACAGAAATTGCAAAACGATCGTTTTATTACTATGGATCCATAGTTTATAATTCATCAAAGTAGAGTAATTTTTATATCTTATATTTGTGTATTATATCTTCGTGTTTGTATTTCGCACGAAATTGTAGTGTATTTTATTTAGGTTATACTCAGGGCTCCCTTTGATAGCAGGTGGCTCTTTAGGGCTTCTGTTTATTTTTATTTTTAAATAAAGGCATCCATCCATCCATATACGCGCATGCACCAAAAGCTCCTTGGGATGCGTCAGCGAAAATACAGAGAGTTGGTCGATGCTCTCCTGGCTGGTGAGCTTCTTTGAAAGGAGGCCTTGTTTAGCTCTTTCATTTCCCTGAAAAAGGCGATCCATTTTTGTTGAACTTCTAAAGGAAGGTCTTCGTCCCATTCAAATCCTTGTCGCCACAACTCTTGTAAGCCAATCTTTGCTCGTATCAGGAAGGCTGAAGCGAATCCAACGGGGTCAAAAATTCGCGCTACTTGACTGAGGATACTTCTCTTTGTCAGCTTGGTTGAGTTCAGAATTTCGAATGGCTTCATTCTTCACTTTGAACTTGAATGAGTCTTCAGCAATGTTCGAGACAACGCCTAGTACTTTGTCTTCAACTGAACCAGTGAGAACATTGATTTCTCCATCTTGTCGGTCGCAGTTATTACTCAGATCCTTGTTTGACTGCCATTCTTTAACTTTAAAACCACCTTTCTCTAGTACAATGTCAATTCCGGTCGTCAGCTCTTGAGCCTCTTGTACAGTGTGAACGGAGTCCAGTATATCATCCATGTAACTGTTGTTCTTCAATGTTTTCGCTGCGTGAGGGCTCCGGCTTTTTCCTTCTTCTGCCGTCTAATGTTAACGACAGAAGTAAGTCTTAATTAGTTTAGTTTGTACTGTTGGTTCATTACCCACTTTATATAATCGGTGTTGTAAATATCCAAATGTTTCGTAATTATATTGCATGATTGTATGTTTCAGATCGAATGATTCCTTCAAATGAACTTGTTGTTCATTATACGATTGATGATTTCCCAGCGTTCCGTATTGTGTCAATTGTCCAAAGGTTCATTTCATTCGATTTCTGGCTAACCTGAAGTCCCGAGGAGCTTGACATCATGGCAGAATTACCGAAAGACAAATGTCAGTCACCGTACTGCCAAAGCGTCACTGACTAGGGCTGGAAAATCACTTCGCAGCATGATGGAAAGTAAGCGTCCAGCACCCGAGGTAAGAGAATCATTTGTTAAACTGCAAAATGCCTATGAAAAGCTTGTTGTGAAGCATGAAGATGTTACCCAGCTGATCGAAACTTACAAGGAATTGGCGAAGGAAGAAGAATAGCTTGAAGAGTCCCTAGAGATGTTTACTAGATAAGAAATTCATACGAAGGAGTATATTGATCAATGCGTAGCCACAGGAAAGAAAAGTAATGAAAGTGTTCATGTAGAGCGCCGATCACAAAAAAAATCGAGAGAACGCTGAGGCACACGACCAACAAATATAGGAGATGGAGCAAATGAAGCTTTCAAGGAAGCTGTCAGAGAAGGAACTAGCTGAGTACAAAGTTAAAATTTTGACACGTGTGAGTGATATCAAGGATAGGAAAATGATTATTCTGAGATTAAGGAACAATTATACGTGCATAAACGCCGAAACTTTCTCCAGGTTCTTCTCCGCATTCAAAATGGCAGTTCAAGGATTTTGTTGGTGCCCCTCTGGAAGAATTTCCTGGAAGAGCAGTCAATGTGTAAGAAACATGACAGATAGAAGCAAGTCTTACAAAATAGTGCCAAACAAGAAAGGGAAAGCAAGCATATGGCAACACTTCGGCTTTGTAAAGGAAAACAGTCTTGTGGATAAGACCAGGGTTGCATGCAAGTTGTGACCTGACCAAGTGATATTGAAATACAACGGAAATACAACAAACCTAACCGATCACGTGCAAAGAAAACACAGCAGATATCTACAGTCTACATCCTCAGAATGCTCAGATGCCACAGCTTCTATACAGCAAACTACTCATTCAGGCCAGGAGGCTCTTTTAGTGTTATTTGCGACCAGACTGCCACACAATTCGAGCAGAGTGAATGCAATTTTTGGTGCAATTCTGCAATTTATCATCAAAGATCTACGCTCATTCAGTGTTGTACAAAATTCAGGATTTCAGACCGCAGTTCATATTCTTGAGCCTAGGTATACAATACCTTCCAGACAGCACTTCTCGGATAAGGCATTGCTGGAACTCTACGAGAAAAAGAAAACTGAACTGAATAGTGAACTTGCTGATGCTATTGCTGTTGCTTTAACAACAGACGGCTGGACGAGCCATGCCACCGAATCATATCTGACAATCACCTGCCACTATATCGACAAGGAGTGGAGTTGGGAAGTAACATCCTAGAGGTATGACCTTTTCATTACATTGAAACCCTGTGCAATATTGTTATTTACCTTGAATGGTCATTTCAGTGAAGTGTTCGAGATGATTTTTCCTTTTTCCAAAAATTGGTGATTGCAGAAAGGGTTATGTGCATTTCATTGTGGCAGTTGAATAATTTGGAGTTTATTTTTATGAAAACATAATAACTTTATTCTGCTCATGAAATTTTAATTGAGTTTAGCTCTTAGAATACAAACTATCTGTATATCTAAAGTGACCTGGGGAAAGCGATAGTCCCCGGCAAGCTATTGTGGTTACATGACATGCATAAGTGTTGAATGGCATATATTTTTCTGTCTCTGTGAACATTCAAATGTTATCCTTATCTCTTCTTCTAGACAAGGTCACTGCCAGAGAGCCACACTGGTGTCAACATAGCCAATGTATTGAGAGAAGCAGTGACAGAGTGGAATCTTCCTCCAGGTCCACCTATTGTAACTGACAATGCTTCGAACATGACAGTGGTAGCAGAAGAATTAGGAACTTCGTTAGCTTGTGGAGAGGCTTTGAAAATTACCTGTGAGTCATCTCCTTGCCAGAATGAGATGAGTTGTGGGTTATTTTACAGGAGTGCTATTACAGCTGCAATTCTCAAAGAAAAGCAGAAGCTTTTGCTATTACCAGAATATAAGCTGTTAGTGGGTGTTGCAACAAGGTGGAATTCAGCACTGAACATGATAAGTAGGTATCTGGAGCAGCAACCTGCAATTTATGCAGCTCTAACATCCAAGGGAACTCCATAAAAGGGAAAAAGATGTTTCTTCATTGTCTGAAAGAGATCTTGCATCTGCTGAAGAATTGGTTGCTGTTTTAACACCACTTAAAATTGCAACAACAGCACTATGTGAGGAAAGTGTGCTAACCTTGTCAATGATTCTACCTCTTCAGCAACAAATGGTGAATTACATAACGAGGGAGGATGATGACTCAGCATTGATAAAACAAGTGAAGAAAGAAGTTGTGGATGATTTCTCAACAAGATGCCAGGACACGTGTACCAAGAAAGATTTGACGGTGGCAACACTTCTTTATTTTATTTCTTTCCTTTTTTACCAAGAAAGATTTGACAGTGGTAACACTTCTTTACTTTACTTCTTTACTTTCTTTACTCTACTTTTTCTTTACTTTAAACCCTCTTTATGAGGGCCCCACTGAAAACCGCTGTGGCGAGTTGGGCTCCCTCATAAATATTATTATTATTAATATTATTATTATTATTATTGTTATTATTAACCACGCTTCAAATCAACACCATTCCTGAGTGATAAAGATAGATTAGATGCATACCATGAACTAACTGTGCAAGCTGTTTTTGCTCTAAGTTCTCTCAAGTCAAAAGCTGCTGTCAAGGTTGATGCAGCAGAAGTACCCCAGTCAGAGGCTACTCCAGGCATCCAACTCTACCTGATGAATACCATGATGACCTTCCCAGTCCTGCTAAGGAAATGAGGCAGGAAACTAAGGGGTCTGAATCAGTTAAGGATAAGCCAACTGCAATGTCAAGTCTCTTGGGAGACATTTACATTACAAGAGTACAAAAGCAAAAGTCTGAACATGATATTTGCGAGACAGAGCTTTCTCAGTACAAGGAGCCATCCATAAATGCTACAGAAAATCCCCTTAACTGGCGGTGTCAAACTGTGAAAGATACCCCTCATTAGCTATTATAGCAAAACAGGATCTATGCATTCCAGCTACTTCAGTTCCCTCAGAGAGAGTATTTTCTACAGCAGGTGATATCATTACTGCCCAAAGGTCTCAATTGAAATCAAAGCATGTTGACACTAATTTTTCTTAAGAAAAATTGGAATCCTTAAGGTTGATTTAACTAATGCATTGCATTGTATTCATTACTCTTTTTTCTGTTTCTGGAATGTGTCAGCATCAATATTATAACATTTGTTATTGCAGCCACTTTATTTTATACGTTATCATTCACAAAGTATTGAGTAACAGTTTTTAATGAAGTGAACACAATATGAACTAATTTTTTTTTTTTTACAATTAAACTTTTGTTGAGAGTTCAAAGACAAGTAGAATTAAGAAAGATGATAACCATTTTTGTGGCATACTTTCATAAGTTAAATTTACATAGTAAAAAAATCCACAAACATGGCATTTTTTAATTTCATGTTTACCACTTGAATTGCACAGGAAATTTGGAATGGGGCAATGTATAATAATTACAACACTAAACTCTCACATCACAATAATTTAACTATCGCAATACAGGTTCAACTGTATAGCACTATTTCGATTCTGATCTTTGGCAGTAGGCACATGGACCTCTTGAGTGACAATGTTTTCTTTTCAATACTGAAAACAACTTAAGTCCTAACTTAACCAACCTATCCCAAAAAAAATAACTCTTGCATGCATAGCATCCTTACATTTGTCATAGCACTTTTGTGATACTACAAGGGAAAAGAAAAAAAACTCTATAGAGTTCCTTTCACACTGTTTCTGATCTGCAACCGGTTGTTTACACCACCGTCCAACTTGTTTGTTTGTCTCTTTTTTTTGCAGTAAATGTATGACTGAAATCCAGGGAAATCAATTTAGGTTCCAGTGAACCCTAAGCAAGGGTTCACAGTGCTGTCAACATGATTTGAAGTTGGTGGGTACCTCTGTAAAGCAGCTGCCACAGAGTGAAATGGAAAAAAATTTCCCTCTTGTTAGCCTGTTAGTTCCATTCAGAAAAACTGGCTTCAAATGGAGTTTTTGGTGTTGAACTCCCATTAATAATTTTTAAATATTAGTTTTCTTTGTGATTTGTGATTTGTTTTTTAACTGATCATTTTATTTCTAATAAAATTCTTTCATTTGCCAACATGCAAACCTGCTGAGTTTCACACAAAAGTCCTCTGAAAGGACATGCTGTTTACTGGTGACCAAAATTTGAGTCAGTATATTCTTGAAAACTCAAAATATTTTTTTCTGGAAATGTTGTGTATGATAAGACAATAACAGTCATTTTTGTCAAAACTTGTCAAGCAACTTTTCAGTGTCCAGCTCCATTTAGTCACAGCTTGAAAGCTTCCAGAAAGTCACAGAAATATCCAGAATGATGGCAACTATGCAACATCATATAATTCTAAAAAACGTTCAACACGCAGTTGTCATGATATATGTATTACATCACTGTAATCACATGGTCTTTATTAAACATATCATGGTGTCAGAAGTGGTAGATCTCAAACAAAGTTTGAACTATAAAAGTCTAACTTAAAATGAGTGCATTCAAGCCACCCACAATGCTAAGTCTAAATGAAAATGTTACAGACAACTGGCATAAGTGGAAACACTGATTTTAATTGTTCATGGAAGCTTCAGGATCAATGAAAAAACCAAGGAGCAATGAGTTGCCATATTTCTTCATCTTGTGAGAGGAGAAGCACTTGAAATTTACAGCACATTTTCATTATTGACTGCAGAGCAAAAGCTCCATGTCCTATTCAAGAATACCACACTTAAACAGCACAAATTCTAAACCTGTGTACAGGAACCAACTGAAAGCATCAATCATTGTGTAACCAAGCTGCGTACCAAAGCAAGCTCATGTGAATTTGGAGAGCTGTGTGAGAGCTGAATTCAAGATAGAATCATCTGTGGAATAGTCTGCCACACAACGAGAAAAGTTATTGCAAGGAACTGACATAAGTCTTCAGAAAGCC